CCTTCCTTCCTTCCTTCCTTCCTTCCTTCCTTCCTTCCTTCCTTCCTCCCTCCCTCCCTTCCTCCCCTCTTCCCTTCCTTCTTTCTTTCTGGTTGTTTACTTATTGTTTTAAACAAGGTCTCACTGTGTAGCCCTGGCTGGCCTGGAGCTCTTTAAGTAGGCCTAGTTGACCCCACTCTCACAAAGATCAGGTTGCCTCTGATTCTTGAGTGCGGGATTAAAGTCATGTGTGACACCTCTCCCAGCTGGGCACAAAAGCTTTTAAATTTCATTTAATCCCATTTGTCAATTGTGTGTGTGTGTATGTGTGTGTGTGCTTGCATGCGTGCGTGCGTGCGTGCGTGTGTGTGTGCGTGTGTGTGTGTGTGTGTGTGTGTGTGTGTACGGGACAGGGTCTCACTATGTAGCCCTGATTGACTTGGAACTCACTGACCTTGAACTCACAGGTATCCTCCTATCTCTGTCTGAGTGCTGGGATTGAAGGCCTGCACCACAGGCCCAGGCCCATTTGTCAATTCCTGATATTTCCTGTGTTTTTGGAATCTGGCTCAGGAAGTTCTTAATCTATGTCTATATCTTGAAGTGTTTTCTTATAGCAGTATCGAAGTTTCAAGTCTGACAGTCAGGTCTTTGATTCATTTTGAACTCAGTTCTGTGACAGCTGGGTTTAGTTCCACATTTTTCTAGCTTCCCACTTGTTAAACAGGCTGTCTTTTCTGCAGTGTACGTTTTTACCACCTTTGTCAAACAGCAGGTGGCTACATCTGTGTGTTTACTGCTGGATCCTCTATTTTTTTTCAACTATAGATTGCTTTTACTATTTGGGGGGTCTTTTGTTCTTTCATACAATTTTTAGGATTTTTTCTAGTTTTGTAAGAAATGGTATTGGAATTTTGATATTGGAATTGTGTTGAATCTGCAGAGTGCTTCTGGTCATGTGCCATTTTCAAAGGAAAGAAATCATGACATTTTCAGGAAAATGCTTGGAATTGGAAATCATTACTATTGTTCTTTTTAAAAGAATATGATGATGGGAGGCCCCGTGGCTCGCAGAGTCCGGCAAGGATGGCCGTGAGTCCCTGCAGCGCCATGCGGCCGGGGGAGTCAGGCGGGCGGTTACGGCGGATAAAAGGCTCATAGGACATAGTATTATTTAAAGAAGAGGGAGACATTTATTGCTTAAAGGAGAGAAAACAGAGAGAAAACAAAGACACACGTACATACAAGACGAAACAAACACACACACACACACACACACACACGAGCGCGCGTGTGCGCGCGTGCACGTGCGCGCGCGCGAGCATGCATGTGCGCGCGAGCGAGTGAGAGAGAGAGAGAGAGAGAGAGAAGATGGTGGTGGGGGGAGGGTCAAAAGTGGCTGGGATGGGCGTGGTTAGTTCTTAAAGTGTCCCAATGGAATAACAATTACATTAAGTGAAATAAGCAAAGCTCAGAAAGACAAGTACAATGTGTCTTCTATATGTAAAAACTAACTTTTGAAATCATGCACATATACATATAACATATGTGAATGCATATACATATTTATTTAAAAATTTTACTCATGCATATGTGTATATGCCTGCTTATTGATATGTTTATACTACATATGTGTCTAAGCAGGCCAGAGGAGGGTATGGAAATCCCTGGAGCTGTAATTGTAGGAGGTTGTGAGCCCTCTAATGTGGGTACTGGGAACTGAGCTTTGGTCCTCTGTAAGAGCGACAAATGCTCTTAAATACTGAGCCACCCCTCCAGCCCCTACGTGTATATTTATATGTGTGTGTATGCGTGCACGTGTGTGTATGTAGGTCAGAAACAAGAAAGGGGATTGTGAAAAGGGTGGAAGAGATCTTGGGGACTGTAGAGAGAGTAATGAGATATACATACTAGAAAAGCAGAAAGCCTCACCTGGGGAAAGGAGGGGAATCAGTCAGAGAGGAACAGGGAGCATAAAAGAGGCCATTGAGGGAGAAGAATGAATGAAAACAAAGAGCAGCAAAGAGATGTAAACCTATTATGTTGTCTTATATCCCCCCAAAAATTGCCCCCCAAAAGGAAAACAGGATTTTTCATACCAAAAGTGAGACTTCCCCAGCATGGAGGCATCGGGAGGATTCTGGGAAGGATGCTTCCGGTAGTAGCCCCTCTGCTCATGCTCTGTGTCCCGTGTGAGCCTTGGAGCAACTCGGTGATGGGTCTCCCGACTCCATGTTTGTCTGAGTGGGAATGGTCGGCACCTTGCTGCCGAGAGACCTAGTGGAAAGCTCTTTGAATCTGAAGCTTCATTAGGAGGCCTGCATCACAGCTGTTCCTTTTTCATGTCCTACATTTCTGGTGACAGTTAACACATGGCCCCCCCTCAGTTATTCGTGTGAAAACACATACATACAAATCACATGTTCTCAATGTCTACATTCAGTTTACAGTTGATCAGTAACACTTGACTAAACGTGTTAAATGAATACTTCCAGAGTTACGAAAAGATTCACCTGGACTTCCTCAAGAGCGACCATCCGGCTGTGGCCCGCATGCGCGTGGACTCTGATCATGCGTACAGCGGGGTCACTTACAAGAATGAAGATGAGAAGCTGAAGGACTGGGAAGGTGGCCTGGACGAACAGAGGCTGAGTGCAGACAGCGGCTACATCATCCCCCTGCCAGACATTGACCCTGTTCCGGAGGAGGAGGACCTGGGCAAGAGGAACAGACACAGGTAACCGGGGGTTTGCCCACCCTCTCCTGTGCCAGTCTTGAAAGGAGGGCTCCTGGGAGACCGAGGCCGTCAGGGTTGTGAACTGTGCTCGGGCAACACGGTGCAGAGTTCCAGAGCTGGCCATGAAGTTTTGAAGACGCCTCCCACATGATTCCGAGGTGTCTTTTCACCCCCAAGTGTGTTCTGGCAGGCTGGTGCCCTTAGGGATTGTATACCTAAAAACTTTAGTTTAAAAAATGCTTAGTACACAAGCATACTGTGAGACAACACTTACCAATTAGTAGTGACAGGAGGCAGCCTGTTGCCTCATTTACCTTATCCAGTTTGTTGTCACATACACCATTTTACACACACACACACACACACACACACACACACACACACGTACACACGTACACACACACAGGTATGCACACGCACAGGCATGCATGTACCCATGCACACACACTTTTATTTCTCACTCAGAGCTAAGTAGGAAACACCAAGACACTTCACCTCTCACTTAGGAAGTGCATGTCTTTATATCTGAAGCTTCCTAAGAACAAGACCATTCATGTGGTGGCTATTATGACCACGTGTGAGAAAGTTACCTGTTAAAGAAGGGTAGAGTTGGAGATGGAGGATTCATATTGACCATACTTGAGGCCACAGGTTCAACCCCCAGTACTGAAAGAAAGAAGAAAAAGAAGCTAACAATTATTCTCAGGTCTCATTTAATACTCAAGCTTTACTTAAGTTTAGATACCAATTAGAATAATGACTGCTAATATTTATTGAGCTTTTTTATATGTTCATAGTTATTAGATTATTATTATAGTTAATTGTCTCAGTAGGTATATTGTTAAGCATTACTGTCATGGCATTTTTTTTCTTTTTTGGTTTCTGCATGTAGTTTTGGAACCTGTCCTGGAACTCACCCTATACACTAGGCTGGCCTTGAACTCACAGAGATCCACTTGCCTCTGCCTCCCAAGTGCTGGGATTAAAGGTGTGCACCATCACCAGCCTGTCACATCATTTTTTTAAAAAGCATTTTTAGTTTTATTTATGTTTCAGAGAAATATTTTTTTAATTAATTTATTTTATTTTGTTTGTATTTGTGTTTTGCCTGCATGTATGTCTCTGTGATAGTATCAGAGCCCCTGAAACTGGACTTACAGGCAGTTGTGATCTGCCACGTGGGTGCTGGGAATCGAACCTGGGTCCTCTTGGAAGAGCAGTCAATGCTCTTAACCTCTGAGCCATCTCTCCAGCCCTCAGAGAAATATTTTTAAGTTTATTATATGTATTTTATTTTATTTTTTTTCGAGACAGGGTTTCTCTGTAGTTTTTGGTGCCTGTCCTGGAACTAGCTCTTGTAGATCAGGCTGGCCTCGAACTCACAGGGATTCGCCTGCCTCTGCCTCCCGAGTGCTGGGATTAAAGGCGTGCGCCACCACCGCCCGGCTGTATTTTATTTTTTAAGATTATAATTGCATGTGTGTATGCGTGTGTGTAGTAGTTATATTCACCTAAGTATCTAAATACAGCCTGTTCAGTCTGTACAGTGTGTGTAGAAATATTCACCTAAGTATATAAATACAGCCTGACCAGTTTGTGTAATGCTGCCTGTATACATATGTATGTTTTCAGGGCTGACCAGTTGGATAACCAACTGGCGTGTTCCTCCCTGGAGAAGACTGTTTCTCTGGTCTCAACATTCCTTAGTCATCTGTAGTTCTTTGTCTAAGCTGAGGCCCCCTGAGCTTTCCCCTCACACGTTAACGAGTCTCTTGATGTCATTCTTATTCACGCCTTGTTTAGGCAGCCATGCCAGTGAGGCTTCTAGTACGTCATTTTATAGATGCAAAAAGAAAACCTTGTTTTCTTCTGTCTTCTGCTGGGTCTTCAGACTCGGGGGCCTGGGTGAGAGAGAAGAGAGAAGGAGCATGGTGGGAGAGTGAGGGAAACGTGGCACCCCATCCTCATGTGCAGGAGGTTCCAGAGACAGCCAGCGGCTGGTGTGACTGAACTTCCTCCAGCTGACTCTGTTCCTTTTCCTTTCCCAGTGTCTTTTGATTGGCAGTTGCTTCCTCTCCCCTGGTAGGACATGTAGGGAAAGTAGGCGCTGTTGTCTTGTTAGCATCTTCCACGAAACACCCGTGGCAGGAAAGAAGGCACGCTGAGTTGTGAAGAAGGCTGTGTTCTGGGTTTTTTTTAATTGGTTCTGTGCAGCAAATGAGTGGCTGGCCGAACGACAAACCTGTCATGCTTGGCTGCACAGATTTCGGTAGGAGAGGACCTTGTACAGAGAGTCCCCTTAGCCTCAGGCAGCCACCCTAGAAGTGCAGCCTGTGGAGTGTGCGGTCAGTCTGCCCATGACCTTAGCCTCTGCTTTTCAATCCCACCAGCTCGCAGACATCGGAGGAAAGTGCTATCGAGACCGGCTCCAGCAGTTCCACCTTCATCAAGAGAGAGGACGAGACCATCGAGGACATCGACATGATGGACGACATTGGCATAGACTCCTCAGACCTGGTGGAGGACAGCTTCCTGTAGCCGGCAGGCTCGGGGGGTGTCTTCTGCTTCTGGAGCCTCCTCGGGACCCCTTTAAGAAAACCACTTCATTGCAATGCAAAGATTGGGAAGAGGACTTGGGTGATGTGGGAAGAGAAGGGCCCAGCGACAGGCCTCAGGGAGCCTCTATGAGTGAATGGGGTACTTGGACTGAACTTTGTCCGCATTGCCTCTTGCAATGCGTCAGTAGCATCTCAGCGGTGTGTGAAGTTTGGAGACGGATGGACAAGGGAATAGCAGGCCACAGAAGACGAGCTTCGTGTTTCCAGGGCCTTGGTGAGGCTCCCACACACGCGATCCGTGCTGCACCCCAGCTCCAGCCTTGTACTTATGTAAATAACTCTAACCGAGGATGTGTTTAGGTTTGTGTTCACTTTTCCTCCATGGACTTCTGAAGAGACCACTCAATCCAGCCATGTACTTCCCTCTCGGAATCCGGTACCAGCTGCTGTTGAACTTTCTCATGAAGTACATGCAAAACCACTTTGAACCTTGAAAGGTACTGGGACCGTCCTGTTTTACTGTCTTGTTAGTGTTAATGAGGCAAGAGATGAAAACTAACCGACCTTGAGGAATAGATTTGGGTCTTTTAGGAGCCCTAGAACTTCTCCGTATATTGTAATCTATACTTATAATACTACTACTGTTAATAGGAACGCTAAATATGTAACCCATAACATGATTTCCCACCAGAGAAAGCACAATTAAAACAAAAGCCCTTACTAAGTAGGTGACAAGTTTGGCAGTTTTTGACATTTATATTAAGTAACATGTTTCTCAGTAAAATATAATAGCTTTAGTGGATTAAAGTTAGCAAACACTAGAGAGCGGAGTATAAGTAGTGTCGTCCAGAAGTCTTTGATACTGTGTACTAAGTAGTGTTCTCCCTAATCCAAGGCACTAAAAGCAGTTAATCACCTCTGAAGTAATGGGATTAGAAACAAGCAAAGCGGAACCCCCGTGTCCTAAATGCTCTCCGTATAAAGGTTTAAGCCTGGGCCCAGTATGGCTTCTCATGCTGTGACCTTGTGGAACTGGACCGTCCACAAAAGGACTCAGATGGGTAGAAGTTTCTTTTATGACTGGTGATGACTTTGATGGATCCCACCCATCCCTTCTTTTTAAATCTATGACCTTTTAGGATGCTTCAACACCAGCACCTCATTTTCCTTCCTCTCTTGTCTTAAAGGGAACGAGCTGGAGATGCCGAAACCACAACAGTGCTGTGGAATGAAGCTTGTGTGGGCATCAGCTTGGTTCTGTAGTTCCCACAGTTAACGGCATCTGCAGTCTCTAGCCCTGGGTTTTCACCCCAGAGATCTGGAATTACTGGGTCTGAGGGGAGCAGGAACCTATATATACTTTGATAAAATCTTTGGTGCTTCTGCTCAGCCCTCGTTCGGAATCACTGGCTTGGGTTACAGAGGGTTGCCGTGGGTGCAGATTTTGAAATTTGGAACTGGGCTAGAAGGCAACTGTGCAGGAAGGCTACTATTTAAGCCCCTGGCTTCATGTCAATAACATTTGATGCCACGTATGTAGCAATTCCCATCCTTCATTTGAGTTTCTAGGCTTAGCTGAGGCTGAGAAAGAAAGCAAAATCTTGGTTTGGGCGCATCTTTCATTATTAGACAATGTGGGTACCACTTCCCACTGGGTGGGGGAACCTGAGCTTGCCCACCTCCAAGCATGCCCACAGATGATGCAACTCTGTGTGCCAGGCCCTTGTACAGTTGGCTCCGTATCTGGTGGAGAAGATGAAAAAGTTTTCCTGATTTAGGGGGGTTTAGCTGGGTGCCGTAACCATCCAAACTGTCAAACTGGCTAGTGTGAGTTCATTGGCATTCTCTGCAGTGTGCCTAATTGCTGACTCTGTATGAATGAAACATGGGCTGTGATTACTGCAATCACTGTGTTGCTTCCAGCAGGTGATGCTTTGGAAGCCACGGAAGCAGTGGCAAGGTGCTTGCCTGCCTACTGGTACAATCTCCGTGCAAACCCCAACTTTCCCGTTTCACAGGAAGTGCGAAGACTGAGCCAGATTGGCCACTTAAAAAAACAAAAACCTGACTAGATTCTTTAGAGCCAATTAAACATGAAGCACGTTCGTGTTTCTAGAATCTCAGCTCAAGCGTTCTGTTTGTCACCTGTTCGTCCAGCCTTGTGTTTGTTGGTTCTTTCTCCTCTGGTGTTGCTTTGGGCCTTGCATGACACCATGAGGTTGGATGAGCAGTTCCTGTCCTTAGCTGTTCTCTTCTCTGAGATTGAATGGGAATTCGTTTGTTTTTGTTTTTATGAGACAGGGTCTCTCTATGTTGCTCTGGCCGTCCTGGAACTCACTATGTAGACCAGGCTGGCTGTTAACTCTCAGAGATTCATTTGCCTCTGCCTCCCAAGTGCTGGGATTACAGGCATGCACCACCACACTCGGCAGGAATGCATCTTTATTTTTAAACAGTGTTTTGAGTGTCTCCCTGATTCATTTCCTTTATGGCCTCCCGCAGAGTCCCCGGAAGAAAATTTACCAATCTTTCCTGCTTTCTGTTTTAACGATGACAATCAAAGCTGGCCCGAGGAACACAATTTGTGGCTTTTTAAATGATCAATGATGTCCTGAAAATGTGGTCTGCCAACCTGTACAAAATGGTCCTATATTTGTGAAGAGGGACGTAAGATAAAATGATGTTATACATCAATATGTATATATGTATTGCTATGTAGACTTGGAGAATACTGCCAAAACGTGTATGACAAGCTGTATCACTGCCTTTGTTTATATTTTTTTAACTGTGATATTCCCCACAGGCACATTAACTGTTGCACTTTTGAATGTCCAAAATTTATATTTTAGGAGGAATAAAGAGAAAAATACTTCCATGCTCCCCAAATGGTGGTGTGTTGAATGTGTGAGAGGAGCGAGCTCCACGGGAGGCTCTGCCGACACCAGATGGCTTCCAGATACCCCTGTTCGTGTTGTTTTAAAGAGTGTAAATGGAGATCTTTATATTTCAATAAATGATTTATTATATATGATTTGAAGTTCTGAGGGTCTTCTCCTTTTGCTTTGTTTCTCAGTCTGATTGGAATCCCCTTCCACTCCCTTCCTGCAGTTCAGCCTGTTGGAGGCAGGGTTTTGTTGTAGAGTTTAGGTTGGCGCTTACCTTTGTGGTCCACCTGCCTCAGCCCCGAAACTGCCGGCATCACAGCCATGTACCACAATGACTATCTTCTTTTCCTTTTATTTCTCTGAGCAGACTAGTTAGTCAAGCAGATTACGTTCACAGGATAAGTGAGTGGAAAGTCAAGCTCTGCCGTATACTAACTAGCATCTCACGCGAGCAGCCTCCGCATCTTTACTGTGACCTCTCAGAATGTGCAATGTTTGTGACAAGGATGACCCTGCATCCGTGCCCCATCATCTATGCCATGCTTTAGCATCCTCTGTGAAAGTTATATGCAGATTTCACAGTTTCCCGGCATCCCATCATATAAATTAGTGCAATTCATTAATGTTAATAATTGGAAAACAGGCCCCTTTTAAAAAAATAACTCCTTATTACCCAAATTCAGGCAGCCTGTCCATCCGAGCCTGTATCCTTCAGAGCATAGCTGTTGACTGGGTGCTAGCTCCGTCTGGACTCTGCCCAGGAAGGAGACAGATTCCTGGGACTAAAACATCTCTAACTGAACAACAGGTACACAATTCCATCCGCTGACACAACACAGACAATTTATCTATTTTATCTGGTCTACTGAACTTTTTAAACTAGGGGGTTAAGAAGTTCTTAACTTACAATAACTTTTAAAAAAAATCCCTGCAATGGGCAATGGTAGGGAGGACTCCTCATAGACGCAGAAACCAAGGCACCTGAGGACGAGCGGCTTTTCTAAAAGTCATGTAACCGAGTAATGATAGCACTAGGATTAGAAATTCCAAATATATGAAGCCCGCTAGCATTTGCATGATGGATCAAGGAGAAAGCAAGAGGCACTGAGAGCGTCAGCGTGCAGAAGGAGCTTGCCGGGCTTCTTTGATATTTTCACAGACAAGCAATGGGCAAGCGCAGCCTGGAGAACTATTCTGTGTTTGTAATCAGAGCCTTTCTTGCCAGCCTGAAAGGCGCTCGTCCTAATAATGGCCATTGTGATTTTAATCGCGGCGTGCTTCATGAGAAGCAACCCAGGAAAATGGCCTTCTGTGTCAGAATCCATCACAAGCAAGGCGATTTCCCTTGGGATAACAGCAACAAAAATGTTTCTTTAACTCCAAATACACATAAAGGCTAAACCCACTAGCATCACGGTAGCAGTGTTTATAGTGGAGACAATTGTTTCATCCCACATTAAAATGTGTTTGGAAATACATACGTGTTCTTAATTAGTAGTTTCTACCATCCTGTCCCACCTGGTTACATAAATAGCACCTGTGTTCTCAAGAATAATGAATGTAATTTCCCAAATAGATTCATGCACCAGTAATGTTTCCATCATCCACCCTGCAGCTTACATACCAGTGATGGAGATGTGGAGGACACACGGTCCCATGTGGCAGGGGGAACATATCTGCAATGCCCCATCCCCCATTCTGGTTTATAGGCTAATTGGAATTTTTAAAAGGTTTGCCACATTAGTCTGGCAGATGGCATTTTGTTTTATCATTGTTCATGGGTATTAATGACTTCCCTCTAGAGCGCGTGTGTATCCTGTCTATTTTGAATTTCATCACATTTCACGCTGACTGCTCCAAACAGAATCAGAACCAGGCTTTTCTGTATGGAGCTCGGGTTGTAGATTGGTTGGTCTCCTGAAGCTGGAAGCCTGGCTAGGAGGAAGTTCTCTGAAACAAAGGAAAGCTTTTGTGGATTTGGACTGGCTATCCTGTCACACTTCGTGTTGTGTTTAACTGGCTCTGCCATGGGGCTCCTGGTAGAAACAGGTGTACACAGAGCCATTTTCAGACTGGATGCATCCTTCATGAGCCTGGGATACATCCTTTCTTCCCCCCTCCCCCCCAAAAAATGCTGGGTTTGGAGAAAATGCACGAGTGCTTGATTCAATGGGCCAGCCCCAGGAAACCATGTTTAAAATTAATTCCCTCAAAGAATATTTATTATAGGACAGACTCATTGTGGAGTTGATCTCGAGAATGTGTAAGGTTAAATGGGGCATCTGGAAGACGTCATTCTAGTCAACTCAGGATCTGAGGGGACCTTTGTATCACATAGAAGAGCAGGTCAGAAAATTGTGGTTGGAGGCCAAAGACCTTCCTCTGAGTGATGAGAAGCCTAAGAGAACACGGAGTACCGCCCACAGAATGCTCTCGATGAAGCTGAAGGGTTTCTGCAGGCAGGAGAAACAAGCCAGCAACGTGCTGAGGGTGGGCAGCTTGGGTTGGGGTAACTTTGTCTCCTTCGGCTCCTATCTTTGCTGAGATTCCACGGCAGCCTGCAGGTCTCTTTCCAAGCTCATTCCTATAGGTTTCAACCTTGCTGAGCTGGACACTGGTTCAGGCCCTTGGATTCAGCAATTATTACAAAATATAGGATTGCTACATCGTGCCCAAAGTGCCTCTCCGTGGCCCAGGACAGATCTGTTTGAGGTACAAGGACAGCGTGTCTGTCTGGAACAGAGGTGGTTGGGTTTATTTGAAAGCTCCTTATAAAGACTGGGATTTCTCTTTGGAGCAAGGGTTACTTCTGCATTTAGTTTTGCGTATGTGTGTAGGTATGCACACAAGTGTAGGCAGCTGCAGAGGTCAGAGATCTTGGATCCCCTGAAGCTGAGGTTAGAAGCTTTTGTAAGCTGCTCAATGTGCCTGGAGCTGAGTGAGGTTAGAGGTCATTTGAAACCATTCAATGTGTGTGGTGGGAATTGAACTTGGTCCTCTGCAAGAGCAGAAAACACTCTTAACTGATAAAACACTCTTAACTGATGAGACATCTCTTTAGCCTAAGGCCTGGATTTCTCTCTCTCTCTCTCTCCCTCCCTCTCTCTCTCACACACACACACACTCTCTCTCTCTCCCTCCCTCTCTCTCTCTCCCTCCTTCAGTTCCTCCTCCTCCTCCTCCTCCTCCTCCTCCTCCTCCTTCTGTTGAGACAGGGTTTCTCTGTAATAGCCCTGACTATCCTGGAAATTGATTTGATTTATTCTCCAGGTTGGCCTTGAACTCACAGAGATCCTTGGATTTCTTAATGCAGTCACCCCTCAGTAGTCATGGAGATCAGCCCAGGCCCCCGTGCAAATGTCAAAGTCTACGCTGTTCATTGCCTCATGTAAGTCAGTGCAGTATCTGCATATAGTCTATGCGTGACCTCCTGGACATGTTAGATCATAGCTAATGTGTGTACAGTACCCATTGCAATGCAAGCCCTATGTAAATGGATGTTAGACTTTATTATTAGAGAATATTAACGACAACATAGAAGTCCTTGCATGTTTTTAGTACAGCTACAGCTTATCCTAAGAGGAGCCATGCTTGATCAGTGCTAAAGATCTGGGGGCGGAGCAAGGGACGTGGGTTACTTCTTTACCTGGATTCAGGGTGTTGCTCAACAAATTCATTTTACTTTTGGAACGTTTCTAGATTTTTTTTTCTCCAAATGTATTCTGTCCTTGATTGGTTAGATCTGTGAGCGTGGAGAGCACAGAGATACAGTGGCAGATCACATGTTGTGAGTTTTAATGCATCTCTGTATATTTTGTTAGTTTACTTACAAATACTTTATATTTTCATGAGTTCTTTCTTTTGTTTTTGAGTCAGGGTCTCACTAAGTTACCAAGGTTGACCTGAAACTCACTAAGTAGCTCAGGCTGAACTCAAACTCAGTTGCTTCCGAAGTGCTGTGATTACAGGCCTGTACCTTCACATCTGGAGAATGGTATTTGAATAACTCCCCCCCCCCCGTTTCTATTTGTTTCTACTTATTAAAAATATAACGGGCTTATATTCTGATACCTTACACCCCAAAATGTATATCACTTAAAATCTTGGTTCTGTGTGTGAATGGAAACCTGGTATTTGTCTTTCTGGATCTGGTTTATTTCACACGGCATAATGATCTCCAGTTGGATCCATTTCCTCTCAAATGCCATGCTCTCATTGTTTTTCTGGCTGCATAAATATTATTGTTTGTGTCTGCCACATTTTCTTTATCCGCCCATCTGTTGATGGATCTCTAGATTGGTCCATTTCTTGGCTCTTGCAAACAGTGCTGCAACACCTTGTGCACGCCTCACAGTTTTGTTTTGTTTTGTTTTGTTTTGTTTCTCTGTATAGCCCTAACTCTCCTGGAACTTGACCTGTAGACCAGGTGGCCTCTAACTCAGAGATTAATCTATCTTTGCCTCCCCAAGTACTGGATTAAAGGCTTGCATCATTATCCCTGGATGCTTTCTGTTTGTCTTTAAAAAATGACAATAGTGTTATCTGTCATAAAGACCATTTTACTTTCTCCTCCTAGTGTAGATGACTTTTATTTTTCTGTTTACATTATTGCATTGGCAGAAAACTCCAGCACAAGCTAAACGGAAATGGTGAAAGCCACTTATGTCCGTGCCTGGTTTGGGGTATTACCAGGAAGGCAATCAGGCCTTCCCTATTTGATGTAATACTAACAAAAGGGTTTGCACAGATACCTTTTAATGGGTTAAGGACGTTTATTTCTATTCTAATTAGGTGAGACTTTTCATCTGGAATGGATATTAAAATGCATGAAGAGCTGTTGTTTGCACATATTGAGATAATACGGGTTTCTTTCCCTTTCAAAGATTTAATTAATTAATTAAATTTATTTATTATGTGGTTGTGTGAAAGCCTCAGTGAGCTTATGTGTAGCACACATGTGCAGGAGCCTGTGAAGGTCAGAAAAGAGTGTCAGGTTCCCTGGAACTAGAGTTATAGGTGGTTGTGAGCCTCTGTGTCTCTCTGTGAGAGCAGCAAGTGCTCTTAACTGCTGCGCCATCTTTCCAGCCCCTCCCCCTATTTATTTGTTTGCTTGTTTGCTTGTTTTGAGGCAGGGCCTCTCTATGAATCTCTG